GTTACTGACCCTGTTCGCGACCTGGGCGAGCTGTTGAATAGAGTGCAACATCACAGGTGTTCAAATCATTACTGCATAAGGGTCGATAGGACTACTGGCCAACCGGTTTGCAGGTTTAAGTTTCCTTTCCAGGAAGAGCCTATCACTAGGCTTTTTGAAAATGAGAAAGGCCTATGGGAACTAATTACCGCTCGAAATGACAGCCTTCTAAATAAGTACATGCAGTGGGTGATTCAGCTGTGGCGAGCCAACATGGATGCTAGCCCTGTACTTTCTATGAAGTTTATGCTCAGGTACATTGCCAAATACACGGCAAAAGGTGAGAAACAGTCTGTGACCTGCCGGGAGCTCGTGGGAGCGATCCTGGACGATGCCGGCGACGAGGACTCGGCCCGCTCCGTCATTCAGAAGCTGCTGATTAAGACGGTTTCAGAGCGAGACTACTCAGCGCAGGAGGTGTGCCACATCCTCACCGGCCAGCCGCTACACATGTCGTCGCGCTCGTTCAATGTGGTGAACCTGAGGAAGGACGAGTGGGTTGAGCTCCGCCCAGACGGTCACGGAGGCGACGGGGACGGCGAGGACGTCGATGACCCGGTCGGCCACGCTGACGCCCAGGGTGACGCCGAGCGGCAGGACGCCGCGGAGGGCGAGGAAGGCGCTGACGAGGCAATCGCTGGGGGAGAGGATGTTTCAACATTCCCTGCCTTTGTGAAAGCCTACCAAAACCGTAGGTTGGTTGCCATGAATGACTTGACTCTGTTCCAGGTGGCCAAAGCTTACTCTTGGCGTAACAAGAGATGGAGCCGCAACATGAGAAATGGGCGGCCGTACGACGCCGTCGTGCGGGCATTCCCCCGCCTCAAACTCACAGGCAACGAGGAGAAGGACGAGGACTTCTACCGAATCCAGGTGCTGCTGCACACTGCCTGGCGCACGGAGGAGGATGCCAAGGGTGCGTTCGACACCTGGAAGGCGGCCTTCGAGGCGCGCGTCCCCGCGGGACTCGTCCCCGTGGAGGCCATGGAGGGCGCCGTGGCGGAAGCGGCCGCCGAGATGGCTGTGGAGGAGGCTCTGTTCGAGCCGCCCGAGGAACCCGAGCCCGAGGTCGACGCCGAGGTCATGGAGCAGTGGATGGCGCTGGCCAGGATGGGTCCAAACGGACAGGCCGAGAGAGTGGAGCTGGGCCGGCGTGAGATGGACCTGGCCTACGACTGGCAGGAGTCGGCCGGTGCCTATGGCGACATCACCACTCTGCGCCACTTCATCTCCACCCAGAAAGCGCTGCACGTCGCTGCAGATGACGACATTGTGGTGGACGACGTCGTCTACACCCCCGAGCAGCAGGGCCTTATCAACTTGGTCCAGGAGCAGATCAACGCGCTCCGCAATGGGGCCCCTCCCCGCGGGCACGATGCAGTGCCAAAGCGTGTTCAGATCCAAGGTAAGGCGGGGTGCGGTAAGAGCACTGTCATCAGAAAGATGGTACAAATGGTGCAAACGCAGTTGGGCCCCAACGCCGCCAAGCTGATGGCGCCCACTGGGACCGCTGCTAATGTGCTAGGAATGAAGTGCTCCACCATTCACTCTGCTTGCAGGCTGAGGCCTCGGGAGGCCTACAAGCCCCTCGAGGGCGACAGGCTGCGCAAGTTCCAGGAGGAATGGGAGGATGTTTCATTCGTATTTGTAGACGAGAGTTCGATGATCGGTTGCAGGCTCCTCGGTCTGATGGAGAGACGCTTGCGTGAGGCGAAACCTCACTGCGACGAGGTGTTCGCTGGTCTCAATATCTTTCTTATCGGGGACGTCCGCCAACTGCCCCCGGTAGGAGACTCTCCGCTGTACTCCGCTAGGCGGATGGCCGGCGACGAGGCCGCGCACGGCAAGATGGTCTATAGGACTTTCAATAAGTCCTTTATCCTATCCGTGTCCCAGCGACAGGCCGACGTCACCTTCCGTGACGCACTCGACCGGCTGAGTGTTGGCACCACCACGGCGGCCGACTACGCCAGGTTTGGAGAGCGCTTCAAACTGAACGTCCCCGTGGCCGAGCGGGAGGAGTTCAAGGACGCGACGCGCCTGTACACCACGCGAGACGAGGTGGCCGCGCACAACATCAAGAAGCTGCAGGAGCTGGACAGCCCCGTGGCGCGTCTGCCCGCCAAGCACAACAACGCGACTGCCAAGCGCGGGTCCGCTGACGACGCGGCCGGCCTGGAGCCCGTCGTGTACCTGGCCAAGGGCGCCAAGGTCATGCTGCGCAGCAACATGTGGCTCGAGACGGGTCTCGTGAACGGCGCCACCGGCACAGTGGTAGACATCGTCTACCAGCCGGGCCGGGCCCAGCCCGAGGACCTGCCCGCCGTGGTGATGGTCAAGTTCGACAACTACACCGGCCCCACCGTGGGCGACGGCTTGGTGCCCGTGCCCACGCTAGTCCACTCGTGGGACCACGAGCAGGTCGCCTGCAGCCGAGAGCAGGTGCCGCTGTGTCTCGCCTGGGCCGTCACGGTGCACAAGTCCCAAGGCCTCACTCTGGACCGCGCCGTGGTCAGTGTGGGCCTGAGGGACTTTGCAGTTGGTCTCATGTACGTGGCTATGTCTCGTGTCAAGTCCTGGGCGGGACTCTTAATTGATCCCGAGTTCGGTCTAAACCGAATCCTGGACATCCGGAACAGTCCCGGGTTCCTGGCTCGCGAGGCCGGAGAAAGAGCGATTGTCAGGAACAGCCGGTAAGGTGCAGTTCTGTGAATCGTTCCAAAAGTTGCGGCCCGCAATGCGGTGCTCTGAAAACAATTGCCTGCTCTTCTGCAGTGTGTAAAACAAAGTAAAACGTACGTCGGCCCGCAATGCGGTGCTCTGAAAACGATTGCCTGCTCTTCTGCAGTGT